AAGGGACTCAAGTTACACGTCGACAGCGAACCAATACACAGATCGTAATTCGCGGCAATAAGAACCCCTTCGACGACGACTACAATACAAACAATCCGTTTTCCCCTTACTACAACTTCAGGCGCGAAAGAATGAACCATCGTGTAATGTTGTCTCCCGACCAGTCAATGGGGTTCAAGTTTAAAACAAAGCCCATTGTGCCATTCACGTGGATACCGACACCGAACAGCGCAGACCCCACCGCACAGGAGGACTACTTTCGCCGCCTTCTTATCCTATTCGGCCCTCCATGGCGAAACGAGGAGACATTGGCCTTCACCACGAACAATTACAAGGCGACGTGGAACCATTTTGCTGATCAGGAGAGTACCTCATCGGATGAAAACAGGCGGAACGGAATAGCCGACGTAAAGCGATTACTGGGACAATACTACCGCGTTTACAAGTCACGAGATCCACTGTCAGAGAAGGAGATTTGCTTAGCGAATCAGGACAGCAGCTTACTCACGAGAACTACCCAACAAGCCGGAGGAACAATCATGTCAACAATGAAATCGACACCGGAAAGAGAGGTAGCACAGAAACTGAGCACATTAAACGCGGCTCAGAGTGAGGTATTTCACATGGTAAGGCTGACACAATTCCAGAACCTACGCATGTTTAAAGGGGTTATAAATATAGTCACTATTTTTAGATGCGGCACAAATATTTAAATCCCGCAACCGAACCGCCCATCTACGTTTGTGTAACTGGAGAACCAGGCGTTGGGAAGACTTTCTTGATTCGACGCATCCTTGAGTTCTTCAACAACAGCATCCCCGAATACGATTCAACGGGATTGCCCGTTGTCTTGGCGTTGTCGTTCACCGCGCAAGGCGCCAAAGAGATGGGAGGGGTTACAATCAACAGCGCCCTCAATTTGCAATTTGACTACGGAACAAAAGTGGCAGAGTATAACCCACTTCAAGCGGTTGTTCAATGCCGTTTAAAAAACGTGTTTGAGAAATTGCAGTTCGTGCTGATAGATGAAATAAGCGTGGTGAACGCGGAGTTGCTAATGGCGATCAATCTGAGGCTTATTGAAATCACCGGAAACTCCGATCCGTTTGGGGGAATGAACATTGTCGCATTTGGCGACTTTTGCCAGAATCCTATCTTCGCAGGAACGCCCGTTTATAAAACAATTCCTCCGAATGAGCAACGCAGAATCTTCAAAAATGTGGTCGAACTTCCTGCGCTGTGGTAAGGCAGAATTAAATATTTTCATATTTTTAGTTGCTACTAAGCGAGTTACTATAAAAACTTGGTTTCAGGGATTTATTCACCTTTTATCCACTCACAATCAATGTCCGCCAGTCAGAGGACAAAGTTTTTGCCAATTTACTTCATATTCTCAGAACGAGCGGGACAATCCCCGTTGGCGAACTGGCCATCTTGAAAAAAAGGGTAATCCCGTCAAACGTGGGGCTAACACGAGACTTTGCTGAGCGGTGGAATCCATACGACCACTGCCGCAACGGGGTACTGGTGGCTCAATCCAACGACACAGTACGACGACATAACGCAGAAATCCTCAACAGAGTCTATGCGCTGTCTTTGAAAGGAAAATTTGGATCCGTCCACACAACAACAAAGACATTTGCGCCGATCACGATAAAGGCAATAACCTACAACAGCGACGGGGAGTTGGAAACACGAATCACAGCCGTGGACGACAAGTACTTTCCACCGTGTGCACCGTTCAACTTGAAAATGGCAATAAACGCTCGGGTTGCAATGACCGTAAACATGGCCCCATTATGTAACTCGCAGCTTGGACGAATAACCAAATTTTTCCACAACAAGACAACATGTGAGGTTGACGGCATTGAAGTTATGTTCGAGGAGATGGAGGCACCGATTGTTGTACCACGATATACTACGATAGGGTTTGGATGGTGCTCTAATTACATTCGAGAACAATTTCCGCTCACTCTAGCATTTTGCTCTACTTCGTACAAAGTACAAGGAACTACACAAGCGTCGGTGCATGTGGACGTCAACGATCTTATCAAACATCCTGCCGCGTTATATGTCGCCTTAAGCCGCGTGAAGAAGGTTGAACAAGTTTTCCTGTCCAACATGTTTCGCACATTGGATCCATTACCAGACGCTTATTTGGTGGCCCATCAAATCGCCTCTCGTCCAGCCTGTTACAAAAGTGGAACAATATGGGATAAAAAACAGCTGGAACAGGGAATTCCTCGGATTCTGTCCAACGCATTATCTGGGTCGCCAGCACACGTACACGACGACGGCCCTGCTGCTTCAAAACCGAACGACGCACAAACAGTGAAAGAGCGAAAGAAACGACACTCGGATCTAGTTGATATACCATTTACCGAATCCGGGAAAAAGCAAAGACTAACACCTCAGAGGAGCGAAGCGCGAGGCACAAGTGATGTGATAGGTAAGAGGAAAAAAAAACCTTATACCTTATTTTTAGGACAAGGATTCTCACTGTCCAATACCTCGGGGACCATATGCTGGCTTAACGCCAGCATTAATTTGCTATACCAACTACCAGCATTTGTTCACATGCTCGAAATGGAACAGCTAACTCCCGAATTCACAATTCTGCGCGACTCCCTGCTCGAAGAAAATCTGACAGCTTTCCGAGAACATGAAGCAATAGTGGAGGGGTTCGACGACGATTTGCATAGCCAGATTGATGCAGTTGACTATCTTACCCATTTTCTTCAACGTCATCGTGATATACAGTCAACAGTCAGCTGGAATTACGAAATAACCCCACACGCTGGGTGCAGGACCTGTGGCACATCTCAAATGAGAGGATTCCGTCAAAACGTCGATTTAATACGAACTATTCCACGGCCTACAGAACGGGCAGTCCAAGCCGCCGTACTTGAATCCATGCTTTTGTCTTGTGGAAGGTGTGGCCGAAAATATTCACAAACCATAAATGTGACGTAAGTTCTCCGCATTACATTAACAACGAATATTCGGCTTTTAGAATTCCTCCCTCCTTACGACATTTGTTTGTCGTCATAAACAGCCCGAATGTTGACGGAGGGAATCTAGAATTTTTGCATGAGTTGGACGATGACAGCATACACATATTTGGGGTTCCGTTTGAATTATGCGCCATTATGAGTCGCATTGGAGAATCCGGAGAGTTTGGACATTTTTTCACACGAGTCAAAAATCGCGGAGCAACTTTTGTTGAATTCAACGATTCATCGATCAATTATGCGGTTCCATCAGCTACTGCCGTCGAGAATGCGTATGTGGCATTGTTCAGACGGTTGGACGCAGACCCCAATCCCATTGAATGGAGAGAAAGCCGTGTACAAGCCAATCGGGCTGATCCCATCAACAAGCCGCAACCTGCATCATCACGCGCATTGCAGGGCGAAAACATCGACATCAATCCGAATGAAATATTACCTTTTTCCAACCCCAACAACTCTTACTGTTGGCTGAATGCCGATATGAACGCGATGTGGCAGATGAGAGAGGTTAGAGAATTCATCTTAAACGAGCAGATGGTCTACAACGGGTTGCCAACGTTGAGGAGGGCCATAAAAGCACAAGATTTGACGGAGTATCGAAAAGCACACCGCGAATTACGCAACCCCAGTAACGGCAATGCAATGTTAAGCACTCCACAATGGGACCCGGTGGATGATCAAAGAGACTGCTTGGATTATATATGGGACTTTATATCACTCTTCCCCGCGCTGATGATTCCATTGATTCAGTTTGAAGTCCATGCGACGATCGAGCCCTGTATCCAACATCCGCAATCAGGCCGAGCTACAATGCAGCAGAAATACGAAGTCTTTTCGGCCGGGAATGTCCCAAAAACCGCTGCATGTCTGTCTGCTGAAAATGGCAAAATTAACATGTTGGCGCTGCTTACAATGTACACGTATAAGACATGTTCCAAATGTCGTAATGTGAGGCCCGCCGTTAGGAAAGTTATGTAAGTTTGAAAAACGAAAATCTCTAAATTGTTTAATTTACGATAGCAAAAGTAATATCGGGGGTTTTCAGGTTCCCAACAACTATGCGGTACCTGTTCGTAGACATAGAATCAAGTCAAACTCTGTCGCTTCTGGAGGAGGCCGATTATTGGAACATACATATCGAAGGAGAATCATTTGAAATTTGTTGTGTTTTGGTACGCATCGAATGTGCCGGAGGGCATCATTATTTTGCACGCGTCTTCGTAAATGGCAGAATTTATGAAGTGGATACGCTAACGGTCAGAAGAATCGAAGGAGAAAATCCCTTGAAAAACGCAAGATTTTTTATTTTGAGACGTCGTTTATAAATTCATTGTTTGATTTTGTCGTGCGTCTAAATGTGCATATAAGAGGAAATAAAAAATTATTTGGAACCTGCGTATTTGAAATTCCTCTATGTAAATTTCTGTAATATGCGTCTATGTAAGAAATGTTTCATTAGGATTTAATTCGAATGGTCTGGAAAACGCTTACCTGCTTTAGCTCGGCCCTAACTTCTCGCCGGCCTTCGGCCGCCGTCGCACGGCCCTCGCCGTCGCCCTCCGGGCGACCCCCCCCTCCCACATCCCTCACCTTCTGCGCATAAAAAAATTTCTGTAATATGCGTCTATGTAAGAAATGTTCAGTAGGATTTAATTCGAGTCGTCTGGAAAACGCTTACCTGCTTTAGCTCGGCCCTAACTTCTCGCCGGCCGCCGTCGCACGGCCCTCGCCGTCGCCCTCCGGGCGACCCCCCCCTCCCACATCCCTCACCTTCTGCGCATAAAAAAATTTCTGTAATATGCGTCTATGTAAGAAATGTTCAGTAGGATTTAATTCGAGTCGTCTGGAAAAACCTTACCTGCTTGAGCTCGGCCCTAACTTCTCGCCGGCCGCCGTCGCACGGCCTCGCCGTCGCCCTCCGGGCGACCCCCCCCCCTCCCACATCCCTCACCTTCTGCGCATAAAAAAATTTCTGTAATATGCGTCTATGTAAGAAATGTTCAGTAGGATTTAATTCGAATCGTCTGGAAAAACCTTACCTGCTTGAGCTCGGCCCTAACTTCTCGCCGGCCTTCGGCCGCCGTCGCACGGCCCTCGCCGTCGCCCTCCGGGCGACCCCCCCCTCCCTCATCCCTCACCTTCTGCGCATAAAAAAATTTCTGTAATGTGCGTCTAAATAGACAGCCGCAAAAAAATGCAAATTTTGCCTGATTTGCATAAAAGACAAGGGGGTAAAAATTTTTTCTATTTTTCCCATCATGGCGGCACCGAACGCTTTCGAATGAGCCCACTCACAAGCTTAACGGAGCGAAAATAGAAAGCCGCAAAAAATGCAAATTTTGCCTAATTTGCATAAAAGGCAAGGGGGTAAAAATTTTTTCTATGTTTCCCATCATCGCGGCACCGAACGCTTTCGAATGAGCCCACTCACAAGCTTAACGGAGCGAAAATAGAAAGCCGCAAAAAAATGCAAATTTTGCCTAATTTGCATAAAAATGAAGGGTGTAAAAATTTTTTTCTATTTTTCCCATCATCGCGGCACCGAACGCTTTCGAATGAGCCCACTCACAAGCTTAACGGAGCGAAAATAGAAAGCCGCAAAAATGCAAATTTTGCCTAATTTGCATAAAAGACAAGGGTGTAAAAATTTTTTTCTATTTTTTCCCATCATCGCGGCACCGAACGCTTTCGAATGAGCCCACTCACAAGCTTAACGGAGCGAAAATAGAAAGCCGCAAAAAATGCAAATTTTGCCTAATTTGCATAAAAATGAAGGGTGTAAAAATTTTTTTCTACTTTTCCCATCATCGCGGCACCGAACGCTTTCGAATGAGCCCACTCACAAGCTTAACGGACCGAAAATAGAAAGCCGCAAAAAATGCAAATTTGGCCTAATTTGCATAAAAGACAAGGGTGTAAAAATTTTTTTCTATTTTTTCCCATCATCGCGGCACCGAACGCTTTCGAATGAGCCCACTCACAAGCTTAACGGAGCGAAAATAGAAAGCCGCAAAAATGCAAATTTTGCCTAATTTGCATAAAAGACAAGGGTGTAAAAATTTTTTTCTATTTTTTCCCATCATCGCGGCACCGAGCGCTTTCGAATGAGCCCACTCACAAGCTTAACGGAGCGAAAGTAGAAAGCCGCAAAAATGCAAATTTTGCCTAATTTGCATAAAAGACGAGGGGGTAAAAAATTTTTTCTATTTTTCCCATCATCGCGGCACCGAACGCTTTCGAATGAGCCCACTCACAAGCTTAACGGAGCGAAAATAGAAAGCCGCAAAAATGCAAATTTTGCCTAATTTGCATAAAAGACAAGGGTGTAAAATTTTTTTCTATTTTTCCCATCATCGCGGCACCGAACGCTTTCGAATGAGCCCACTCACAAGCTTAACGGACCGAAAATAGAAAGCCGCAAAAAATGCAAATTTGGCCTAATTTGCATAAAAGACAAGGGTGTAAAAATTTTTTTCTATTTTTCCCATCATCGCGGCACCGAGCGCTTTCGAATGAGCCCACTCACAAGCTTAACGGAGCAAAAAAATGTTTAATCTTAAGAAATCTAAAAAAAAAATTTTAAACACCAAAAACACATACTTCCCGGAGGGCTAGAGCGAAAATTCAAAAAGATCCGTGAAATTCAGCCGACTGGCTACCCGGACCGGGAAAATCTCAGATTTGTCCTCAATCTAAGTATATAAAACAACGGCACCAGTGCGGCAAAAGGGACTCAAGTTACACGTCGACAGCGAACCAATACACAGATCGTAATTCGCGGCAATAAGAACCCCTTCGACGACGACTACAATACAAACAATCCGTTTTCCCCTTACTACAACTTCAGGCGCGAAAGAATGAACCATCGTGTAATGTTGTCTCCCGACCAGTCAATGGGGTTCAAGTTTAAAACAAAGCCCATTGTGCCATTCACGTGGATACCGACACCGAACAGCGCAGACCCCACCGCACAGGAGGACTACTTTCGCCGCCTTCTTATCCTATTCGGCCCTCCATGGCGAAACGAGGAGACATTGGCCTTCACCACGAACAATTACAAGGCGACGTGGAACCATTTTGCTGATCAGGAGAGTACCTCATCGGATGAAAACAGGCGGAACGGAATAGCCGACGTAAAGCGATTACTGGGACAATACTACCGCGTTTACAAGTCACGAGATCCACTGTCAGAGAAGGAGATTTGCTTAGCGAATCAGGACAGCAGCTTACTCACGAGAACTACCCAACAAGCCGGAGGAACAATCATGTCAACAATGAAATCGACACCGGAAAGAGAGGTAGCACAGAAACTGAGCACATTAAACGCGGCTCAGAGTGAGGTATTTCACATGGTAAGGCTGACACAATTCCAGAACCTACGCATGTTTAAAGGGGTTATAAATATAGTCACTATTTTTAGATGCGGCACAAATATTTAAATCCCGCAACCGAACCGCCCATCTACGTTTGTGTAACTGGAGAACCAGGCGTTGGGAAGACTTTCTTGATTCGACGCATCCTTGAGTTCTTCAACAACAGCATCCCCGAATACGATTCAACGGGATTGCCCGTTGTCTTGGCGTTGTCGTTCACCGCGCAAGGCGCCAAAGAGATGGGAGGGGTTACAATCAACAGCGCCCTCAATTTGCAATTTGACTACGGAACAAAAGTGGCAGAGTATAACCCACTTCAAGCGGTTGTTCAATGCCGTTTAAAAAACGTGTTTGAGAAATTGCAGTTCGTGCTGATAGATGAAATAAGCGTGGTGAACGCGGAGTTGCTAATGGCGATCAATCTGAGGCTTATTGAAATCACCGGAAACTCCGATCCGTTTGGGGGAATGAACATTGTCGCATTTGGCGACTTTTGCCAGAATCCTATCTTCGCAGGAACGCCCGTTTATAAAACAATTCCTCCGAATGAGCAACGCAGAATCTTCAAAAATGTGGTCGAACTTCCTGCGCTGTGGTAAGGCAGAATTAAATATTTTCATATTTTTAGTTGCTACTAAGCGAGTTACTATAAAAACTTGGTTTCAGGGATTTATTCACCTTTTATCCACTCACAATCAATGTCCGCCAGTCAGAGGACAAAGTTTTTGCCAATTTACTTCATATTCTCAGAACGAGCGGGACAATCCCCGTTGGCGAACTGGCCATCTTGAAAAAAAGGGTAATCCCGTCAAACGTGGGGCTAACACGAGACTTTGCTGAGCGGTGGAATCCATACGACCACTGCCGCAACGGGGTACTGGTGGCTCAATCCAACGACACAGTACGACGACATAACGCAGAAATCCTCAACAGAGTCTATGCGCTGTCTTTGAAAGGAAAATTTGGATCCGTCCACACAACAACAAAGACATTTGCGCCGATCACGATAAAGGCAATAACCTACAACAGCGACGGGGAGTTGGAAACACGAATCACAGCCGTGGACGACAAGTACTTTCCACCGTGTGCACCGTTCAACTTGAAAATGGCAATAAACGCTCGGGTTGCAATGACCGTAAACATGGCCCCATTATGTAACTCGCAGCTTGGACGAATAACCAAATTTTTCCACAACAAGACAACATGTGAGGTTGACGGCATTGAAGTTATGTTCGAGGAGATGGAGGCACCGATTGTTGTACCACGATATACTACGATAGGGTTTGGATGGTGCTCTAATTACATTCGAGAACAATTTCCGCTCACTCTAGCATTTTGCTCTACTTCGTACAAAGTACAAGGAACTACACAAGCGTCGGTGCATGTGGACGTCAACGATCTTATCAAACATCCTGCCGCGTTATATGTCGCCTTAAGCCGCGTGAAGAAGGTTGAACAAGTTTTCCTGTCCAACATGTTTCGCACATTGGATCCATTACCAGACGCTTATTTGGTGGCCCATCAAATCGCCTCTCGTCCAGCCTGTTACAAAAGTGGAACAATATGGGATAAAAAACAGCTGGAACAGGGAATTCCTCGGATTCTGTCCAACGCATTATCTGGGTCGCCAGCACACGTACACGACGACGGCCCTGCTGCTTCAAAACCGAACGACGCACAAACAGTGAAAGAGCGAAAGAAACGACACTCGGATCTAGTTGATATACCATTTACCGAATCCGGGAAAAAGCAAAGACTAACACCTCAGAGGAGCGAAGCGCGAGGCACAAGTGATGTGATAGGTAAGAGGAAAAAAAAACCTTATACCTTATTTTTAGGACAAGGATTCTCACTGTCCAATACCTCGGGGACCATATGCTGGCTTAACGCCAGCATTAATTTGCTATACCAACTACCAGCATTTGTTCACATGCTCGAAATGGAACAGCTAACTCCCGAATTCACAATTCTGCGCGACTCCCTGCTCGAAGAAAATCTGACAGCTTTCCGAGAACATGAAGCAATAGTGGAGGGGTTCGACGACGATTTGCATAGCCAGATTGATGCAGTTGACTATCTTACCCATTTTCTTCAACGTCATCGTGATATACAGTCAACAGTCAGCTGGAATTACGAAATAACCCCACACGCTGGGTGCAGGACCTGTGGCACATCTCAAATGAGAGGATTCCGTCAAAACGTCGATTTAATACGAACTATTCCACGGCCTACAGAACGGGCAGTCCAAGCCGCCGTACTTGAATCCATGCTTTTGTCTTGTGGAAGGTGTGGCCGAAAATATTCACAAACCATAAATGTGACGTAAGTTCTCCGCATTACATTAACAACGAATATTCGGCTTTTAGAATTCCTCCCTCCTTACGACATTTGTTTGTCGTCATAAACAGCCCGAATGTTGACGGAGGGAATCTAGAATTTTTGCATGAGTTGGACGATGACAGCATGCACATATTTGGGGTTCCGTTTGAATTATGCGCCATTATGAGTCGCATTGGAGAATCCGGAGAGTTTGGACATTTTTTCACACGAGTCAAAAATCGCGGAGCAACTTTTGTTGAATTCAACGATTCATCGATCAATTATGCGGTTCCATCAGCTACTGCCGTCGAGAATGCGTATGTGGCATTGTTCAGACGGTTGGACGCAGACCCCAATCCCATTGAATGGAGAGAAAGCCGTGTACAAGCCAATCGGGCTGATCCCATCAACAAGCCGCAACCTGCATCATCACGCGCATTGCAGGGCGAAAACATCGACATCAATCCGAATGAAATATTACCTTTTTCCAACCCCAACAACTCTTACTGTTGGCTGAATGCCGATATGAACGCGATGTGGCAGATGAGAGAGGTTAGAGAATTCATCTTAAACGAGCAGATGGTCTACAACGGGTTGCCAACGTTGAGGAGGGCCATAAAAGCACAAGATTTGACGGAGTATCGAAAAGCACACCGCGAATTACGCAACCCCAGTAACGGCAATGCAATGTTAAGCACTCCACAATGGGACCCGGTGGATGATCAAAGAGACTGCTTGGATTATATATGGGACTTTATATCACTCTTCCCCGCGCTGATGATTCCATTGATTCAGTTTGAAGTCCATGCGACGATCGAGCCCTGTATCCAACATCCGCAATCAGGCCGAGCTACAATGCAGCAGAAATACGAAGTCTTTTCGGCCGGGAATGTCCCAAAAACCGCTGCATGTCTGTCTGCTGAAAATGGCAAAATTAACATGTTGGCGCTGCTTACAATGTACACGTATAAGACATGTTCCAAATGTCGTAATGTGAGGCCCGCCGTTAGGAAAGTTATGTAAGTTTGAAAAACGAAAATCTCTAAATTGTTTAATTTACGATAGCAAAAGTAATATCGGGGGTTTTCAGGTTCCCAACAACTATGCGGTACCTGTTCGTAGACATAGAATCAAGTCAAACTCTGTCGCTTCTGGAGGAGGCCGATTATTGGAACATACATATCGAAGGAGAATCATTTGAAATTTGTTGTGTTTTGGTACGCATCGAATGTGCCGGAGGGCATCATTATTTTGCACGCGTCTTCGTAAATGGCAGAATTTATGAAGTGGATACGCTAACGGTCAGAAGAATCGAAGGAGAAAATCCCTTGAAAAACGCAAGATTTTTTATTTTGAGACGTCGTTTATAAATTCATTGTTTGATTTTGTCGTGCGTCTAAATGTGCATATAAGAGGAAATAAAAAATTATTTGGAACCTGCGTATTTGAAATTCCTCTATGTAAATTTCTGTAATATGCGTCTATGTAAGAAATGTTTCATTAGGATTTAATTCGAATGGTCTGGAAAACGCTTACCTGCTTTAGCTCGGCCCTAACTTCTCGCCGGCCTTCGGCCGCCGTCGCACGGCCCTCGCCGTCGCCCTCCGGGCGACCCCCCCTCCCACATCCCTCACCTTCTGCGCATAAAAAAATTTCTGTAATATGCGTCTATGTAAGAAATGTTCAGTAGGATTTAATTCGAGTCGTCTGGAAAACGCTTACCTGCTTTAGCTCGGCCCTAACTTCTCGCCGGCCGCCGTCGCACGGCCCTCGCCGTCGCCCTCCGGGCGACCCCCCCCTCCCACATCCCTCACCTTCTGCGCATAAAAAAATTTCTGTAATATGCGTCTATGTAAGAAATGTTCAGTAGGATTTAATTCGAGTCGTCTGGAAAAACCTTACCTGCTTGAGCTCGGCCCTAACTTCTCGCCGGCCGCCGTCGCACGGCCCTCGCCGTCGCCCTCCGGGCGACCCCCCCCCTCCCACATCCCTCACCTTCTGCGCATAAAAAAATTTCTGTAATATGCGTCTATGTAAGAAATGTTCAGTAGGATTTAATTCGAATCGTCTGGAAAAACCTTACCTGCTTGAGCTCGGCCCTAACTTCTCGCCGGCCTTCGGCCGCCGTCGCACGGCCCTCGCCGTCGCCCTCCGGGCGACCCCCCCCCCCCCTCATCCCTCACCTTCTGCGCATAAAAAAATTTCTGTAATGTGCGTCTAAATAGACAGCCGCAAAAAAATGCAAATTTTGCCTGATTTGCATAAAAGACAAGGGGGTAAAAATTTTTTCTATTTTTCCCATCATGGCGGCACCGAACGCTTTCGAATGAGCCCACTCACAAGCTTAACGGAGCGAAAATAGAAAGCCGCAAAAAATGCAAATTTTGCCTAATTTGCATAAAAGGCAAGGGGGTAAAAATTTTTTCTATGTTTCCCATCATCGCGGCACCGAACGCTTTCGAATGAGCCCACTCACAAGCTTAACGGAGCGAAAATAGAAAGCCGCAAAAAATGCAAATTTTGCCTAATTTGCATAAAAATGAAGGGTGTAAAAATTTTTTTCTATTTTTCCCATCATCGCGGCACCGAACGCTTTCGAATGAGCCCACTCACAAGCTTAACGGAGCGAAAATAGAAAGCCGCAAAAATGCAAATTTTGCCTAATTTGCATAAAAGACAAGGGTGTAAAAATTTTTTTCTATTTTTTCCCATCATCGCGGCACCGAACGCTTTCGAATGAGCCCACTCACAAGCTTAACGGAGCGAAAATAGAAAGCCGCAAAAAATGCAAATTTTGCCTAATTTGCATAAAAATGAAGGGTGTAAAAATTTTTTTCTACTTTTCCCATCATCGCGGCACCGAACGCTTTCGAATGAGCCCACTCACAAGCTTAACGGACCGAAAATAGAAAGCCGCAAAAAATGCAAATTTGGCCTAATTTGCATAAAAGACAAGGGTGTAAAAATTTTTTTCTATTTTTTCCCATCATCGCGGCACCGAACGCTTTCGAATGAGCCCACTCACAAGCTTAACGGAGCGAAAATAGAAAGCCGCAAAAATGCAAATTTTGCCTAATTTGCATAAAAGACAAGGGTGTAAAAATTTTTTTCTATTTTTTCCCATCATCGCGGCACCGAGCGCTTTCGAATGAGCCCACTCACAAGCTTAACGGAGCGAAAGTAGAAAGCCGCAAAAATGCAAATTTTGCCTAATTTGCATAAAAGACGAGGGGGTAAAAAATTTTTTCTATTTTTCCCATCATCGCGGCACCGAACGCTTTCGAATGAGCCCACTCACAAGCTTAACGGAGCGAAAATAGAAAGCCGCAAAAATGCAAATTTTGCCTAATTTGCATAAAAGACAAGGGTGTAAAATTTTTTTTCTATTTTTCCCATCATCGCGGCACCGAACGCTTTCGAATGAGCCCACTCACAAGCTTAACGGACCGAAAATAGAAAGCCGCAAAAAATGCAAATTTGGCCTAATTTGCATAAAAGACAAGGGTGTAAAAATTTTTTTCTATTTTTCCCATCATCGCGGCACCGAGCGCTTTCGAATGAGCCCACTCACAAGCTTAACGGAGCAAAAAAATGTTTAATCTTAAGAAATCTAAAAAAAAAATTTTAAACACCAAAAACACATACTTCCCGGAGGGCTAGAGCGAAAATTCAAAAAGATCCGTGAAATTCAGCCGACTGGCTACCCGGACCGGGAAAATCTCAGATTTGTCCTCAATCTAAGTATATAAAACAACGGCACCAGTGCGGCAAAAGGGACTCAAGTTACACGTCGACAGCGAACCAATACACAGATCGTAATTCGCGGCAATAAGAACCCCTTCGACGACGACTACAATACAAACAATCCGTTTTCCCCTTACTACAACTTCAGGCGCGAAAGAATGAACCATCGTGTAATGTTGTCTCCCGACCAGTCAATGGGGTTCAAGTTTAAAACAAAGCCCATTGTGCCATTCACGTGGATACCGACACCGAACAGCGCAGACCCCACCGCACAGGAGGACTACTTTCGCCGCCTTCTTATCCTATTCGGCCCTCCATGGCGAAACGAGGAGACATTGGCCTTCACCACGAACAATTACAAGGCGACGTGGAACCATTTTGCTGATCAGGAGAGTACCTCATCGGATGAAAACAGGCGGAACGGAATAGCCGACGTAAAGCGATTACTGGGACAATACTACCGCGTTTACAAGTCACGAGATCCACTGTCAGAGAAGGAGATTTGCTTAGCGAATCAGGACAGCAGCTTACTCACGAGAACTACCCAACAAGCCGGAGGAACAATCATGTCAACAATGAAATCGACACCGGAAAGAGAGGTAGCACAGAAACTGAGCACATTAAACGCGGCTCAGAGTGAGGTATTTCACATGGTAAGGCTGACACAATTCCAGAACCTACGCATGTTTAAAGGGGTTATAAATATAGTCACTATTTTTAGATGCGGCACAAATATTTAAATCCCGCAACCGAACCGCCCATCTACGTTTGTGTAACTGGAGAACCAGGCGTTGGGAAGACTTTCTTGATTCGACGCATCCTTGAGTTCTTCAACAACAGCATCCCCGAATACGATTCAACGGGATTGCCCGTTGTCTTGGCGTTGTCGTTCACCGCGCAAGGCGCCAAAGAGATGGGAGGGGTTACAATCAACAGCGCCCTCAATTTGCAATTTGACTACGGAACAAAAGTGGCAGAGTATAACCCACTTCAAGCGGTTGTTCAATGCCGTTTAAAAAACGTGTTTGAGAAATTGCAGTTCGTGCTGATAGATGAAATAAGCGTGGTGAACGCGGAGTTGCTAATGGCGATCAATCTGAGGCTTATTGAAATCACCGGAAACTCCGATCCGTTTGGGGGAATGAACATTGTCGCATTTGGCGACTTTTGCCAGAATCCTATCTTCGCAGGAACGCCCGTTTATAAAACAATTCCTCCGAATGAGCAACGCAGAATCTTCAAAAATGTGGTCGAACTTCCTGCGCTGTGGTAAGGCAGAATTAAATATTTTCATATTTTTAGTTGCTACTAAGCGAGTTACTATAAAAACTTGGTTTCAGGGATTTATTCACCTTTTATCCACTCACAATCAATGTCCGCCAGTCAGAGGACAAAGTTTTTGCCAATTTACTTCATATTCTCAGAACGAGCGGGACAATCCCCGTTGGCGAACTGGCCATCTTGAAAAAAAGGGTAATCCCGTCAAACGTGGGGCTAACACGAGACTTTGCTGAGCGGTGGAATCCATACGACCACTGCCGCAACGGGGTACTGGTGGCTCAATCCAACGACACAGTACGACGACATAACGCAGAAATCCTCAACAGAGTCTATGCGCTGTCTTTGAAAGGAAAATTTGGATCCGTCCACACAACAACAAAGACATTTGCGCCGATCACGATAAAGGCAATAACCTACAACAGCGACGGGGAGTTGGAAACACGAATCACAGCCGTGGACGACAAGTACTTTCCACCGTGTGCACCGTTCAACTTGAAAATGGCAATAAACGCTCGGGTTGCAATGACCGTAAACATGGCCCCATTATGTAACTCGCAGCTTGGACGAATAACCAAATTTTTCCACAACAAGACAACATGTGAGGTTGACGGCATTGAAGTTATGTTCGAGGAGATGGAGGCACCGATTGTTGTACCACGATATACTACGATAGGGTTTGGATGGTGCTCTAATTACATTCGAGAACAATTTCCGCTCACTCTAGCATTTTGCTCTACTTCGTACAAAGTACAAGGAACTACACAAGCGTCGGTGCATGTGGACGTCAACGATCTTATCAAACATCCTGCCGCGTTATATGTCGCCTTAAGCCGCGTGAAGAAGGTTGAACAAGTTTTCCTGTCCAACATGTTTCGCACATTGGATCCATTACCAGACGCTTATTTGGTGGCCCATCAAATCGCCTCTCGTCCAGCCTGTTACAAAAGTGGAACAATATGGGATAAAAAACAGCTGGAACAGGGAATTCCTCGGATTCTGTCCAACGCATTATCTGGGTCGCCAGCACACGTACACGACGACGGCCCTGCTGCTTCAAAACCGAACGACGCACAAACAGTGAAAGAGCGAAAGAAACGACACTCGGATCTAGTTGATATACCATTTACCGAATCCGGGAAAAAGCAAAGACTAACACCTCAGAGGAGCGAAGCGCGAGGCACAAGTGATGTGATAGGTAAGAGGAAAAAAAAAACCTTATACCTTATTTTTAGGACAAGGATTCTCACTGTCCAATACCTCGGGGACCATATGCTGGCTTAACGCCAGCATTAATTTGCTATACCAACTACCAGCATTTGTTCACATGCTCGAAATGGAACAGCTAACTCCCGAATTCACAATTCTGCGCGACTCCCTGCTCGAAGAAAATCTGACAGCTTTCCGAGAACATGAAGCAATAGTGGAGGGGTTCGACGACGATTTGCATAGCCAGATTGATGCAGTTGACTATCTTACCCATTTTCTTCAACGTCATCGTGATATACAGTCAACAGTCAGCTGGAATTACGAAATAACCCCACACGCTGGGTGCAGGACCTGTGGCACATCTCAAATGAGAGGATTCCGTCAAAACGTCGATTTAATACGAACTATTCCACGGCCTACAGAACGGGCAGTCCAAGCCGCCGTACTTGAATCCATGCTTTTGTCTTGTGGAAGGTGTGGCCGAAAATATTCACAAACCATAAATGTGACGTAAGTTCTCCGCATTACATTAACAACGAATATTCGGCTTTTAGAATTCCTCCCTCCTTACGACATTTGTTTGTCGTCATAAACAGCCCGAATGTTGACGGAGGGAATCTAGAATTTTTGCATGAGTTGGACGATGACAGCATACACATATTTGGGGTTCCGTTTGAATTATGCGCCATTATGAGTCGCATTGGAGAATCCGGAGAGTTTGGACATTTTTTCACACGAGTCAAAAATCGCGGAGCAACTTTTGTTGAATTCAACGATTCATCGATCAATTATGCGGTTCCATCAGCTACTGCCGTCGAGAATGCGTATGTGGCATTGTTCAGACGGTTGGACGCAGACCCCAATCCCATTGAATGGAGAGAAAGCCGTGTACAAGCCAATCGGGCTGATCCCATCAACAAGCCGCAACCTGCATCATCACGCGCATTGCAGGGCGAAAACATCGACATCAATCCGAATGAAATATTACCTTTTTCCAACCCCAACAACTCTTACTGTTGGCTGAATGCCGATATGAACGCGATGTGGCAGATGAGAGAGGTTAGAGAATTCATCTTAAACGAGCAGATGGTCTACAACGGGTTGCCAACGTTGAGGAGGGCCATAAAAGCACAAGATTTGACGGAGTATCGAAAAGCACACCGCGAATTACGCAACCCCAGTAACGGCAATGCAATGTTAAGCACTCCACAATGGGACCCGGTGGATGATCAAAGAGACTGCTTGGATTATATATGGGACTTTATATCACTCTTCCCCGCGCTGATGATTCCATTGATTCAGTTTGAAGTCCATGCGACGATCGAGCCCTGTATCCAACATCCGCAATCAGGCCGAGCTACAATGCAGCAGAAATACGAAGTCTTTTCGGCCGGGAATGTCCCAAAAACCGCTGCATGTCTGTCTGCTGAAAATGGCAAAATTAACATGTTGGCGCTGCTTACAATGTACACGTATAAGACATGTTCCAAATGTCGTAATGTGAGGCCCGCCGTTAGGAAAGTTATGTAAGTTTGAAAAACGAAAATCTCTAAATTGTTTAATTTACGATAGCAAAAGTAATATCGGGGGTTTTCAGGTTCCCAACAACTATGCGGTACCTGTTCGTAGACATAGAATCAAGTCAAACTCTGTCGCTTCTGGAGGAGGCCGATTATTGGAACATACATATCGAAGGAGAATCATTTGAAATTTGTTGTGTTTTGGTACGCATCGAATGTGCCGGAGGGCATCATTATTTTGCACGCGTCTTCGTAAATGGCAGAATTTATGAAGTGGATACGCTAACGGTCAGAAGAATCGAAGGAGAAAATCCCTTGAAAAACGCAAGATTTTTTATTTTGAGACGTCGTTTATAAATTCATTGTTTGATTTTGTCGTGCGTCTAAATGTGCATATAAGAGGAAATAAAAAATTATTTGGAACCTGCGTATTTGAAATTCCTCTATGTAAATTTCTGTAATATGCGTCTATGTAAGAAATGTTTCATTAGGATTTAATTCGAATGGTCTGGAAAACGCTTACCTGCTTTAGCTCGGCCCTAACTTCTCGCCGGCCTTCGGCCGCCGTCGCACGGCCCTCGCCGTCGCCCTCCGGGCGACCCCCCCCTCCCACATCCCTCACCTTCTGCGCATAAAAAAATTTCTGTAATATGCGTCTATGTAAGAAATGTTCAGTAGGATTTAATTCGAATCGTCTGGAAAAACCTTACCTGCTTTAGCTCGGCCCCAACTTCTCCCCGGCCTTCGGCCGCCGTCGCCCGGCCCCCGCCGTCGCCCCCCGGGCGCCCCCCCCCCCTCCCTCATCCCTCACCTTCTGCGCATAAAAAAATTTCTGTAATGTGCGTCTAAATAGACAGCCGCAAAAAAATGCAAATTTTGCCTGATTTGCATAAAAGACAAGGGGGTAAAAATTTTTTCTATTTTTCCCATCATGGCGGCACCGAACGCTTTCGAATGAGCCCACTCACAAGCTTAACGGAGCGAAAATAGAAAGCCGCAAAAAATGCAAATTTTGCCTAATTTGCATAAAAATGAAGGGTGTAAAAATTTTTTTCTATTTTTCCCATCATCGCGGCACCGAACGCTTTCGAATGAGCCCACTCACAAGCTTAACGGAGCGAAAATAGAAAGCCGCAAAAATGCAAATTTTGCCTAATTTGCATAAAAGACAAGGGTGTAAAAATTTTTTTCTATTTTTTCCCATCATCGCGGCACCGAACGCTTTCGAATGAGCCCACTCACAAGCTTAACGGAGCGAAAATAGAAAGCCGCAAAAAATGCAAATTTTGCCTAATTTGCATAAAAATGAAGGGTGTAAAAATTTTTTTCTATTTTTCCCATCATCGCGGCACCGAACGCTTTCGAATGAGCCCACTCACAAGCTTAACGGAGCGAAAATAGAAAGCCGCAAAAATGCAAATTTTGCCTAATTTGCATAAAAGACAAGGGTGTAAAAATTTTTTTCTATTTTTTCCCATCATCGCGGCACCGAACGCTTTCGAATGAGCCCACTCACAAGCTTAACGGACCGAAAATAGAAAGCCGCAAAAAATGCAAATTTGGCCTAATTTGCATAAAAGACAAGGGTGTAAAAATTTTTTTCTATTTTTCCCATCATCGCGGCACCGAGCGCTTTCGAATGAGCCCACTCACAAGCTTAACGGAGCAAAAAAATGTTTAATCTTAAGAAATCTAAAAAAAAAATTTTAAACACCAAAAACACATACTTCCCGGAGGGCTAGAGCGAAAATTCAAAAAGATCCGTGAAATTCAGCCGACTGGCTACCCGGACCGGGAAAATCTCAGATTATTCCTCAATCTAAGTATATAAGCCTAAGCCTAAGCCTAAGCCTAAGCCTAAGCCTAACGTAAGAATTTACAGTACGCTTATATTCACTGAATTCTTTTTTTAGTATGTTTCTAATGTAGTGTTATCCAATTTCCTACCCACTGTTTTTTAATTTCCAAGCTCGGTCCGGCGATTTCGGTCTTTACCGGCAGATAGGCGCCGGACAGGCGAAAAAAAACTAAAATCGTCGTAAACATACTACAAAAAGAATTCAGTGAATATAAGCGTACTCTAAATTCTTACGACGATTTTAGTTTTTTTTCGCCTGTCCGGCGCCTATCTGCCGGTAAAGGCCGAAATCACCAGACCGAGCTTGGAAGTTAAAAAACAGTGGGTAGGAAATTGGATAACACTACATTAGAAACATAATAAAAAAAGAATTCAGTGAATATAAGCGTACTGTAAATTCTTACGACGATTTTAGTTTTTTTCGCCTGTCCGGCGCCTATCTGCCGGTAAAGACCGAAATCGCCAGACCGAGCTTGGAAATTAAAAAACAGTGGGTAGGAAATTGGATAACACTACATTAGAAACATATTACAAAAAGAATTCAGTGAATATAAGCGTACTGTAAATCCTTACGACGATTTTAGTTTTTTTTCGCCTGTCCGGCGCCTATCTGCCGGTAAAGACCGAAATCGCCAGAGCGAGCTTGGAAATTAAAAAACAGTGGGTAGGAAATTGGATAACACGACATTAGAAACATACTACAAAAAGAATTCAGTGAATATAAGCGTACTGTAAATTCTTTCGACGATTTTAGTTTTTTTCGCCTGTCCGGCGCCTATCTGCCGGTAAAGACCGAAATCGCCAGACCGAGCTTGGAAATTAAAAAACAGTGGGTAGGAAATTGGATAACACGACATTAGAAACATACTACAAAAAGAATTCAGTGAATATAAGCGTACTGTAAATTCTTACGACGATTTTAGTTTTTTTTCGCCTGTCCGGCGCCTATCTGCCGGTAAAGACCGAAATCGCCAGACCGAGCTTGGAAATTAAAAAACAGTGGGTAGGAAATTGGATAACACGACATTAGAAACATACTACAAAAAGAATTCAGTGAATATAAGCGTACTGTAAATTCTTACGACGATTTTAGTTTTTTTCGCCTGTCCGGCGCCTATCTGCCGGTAAAGACCGAAATCGCCAGACCGAGCTTGGAAATTAAAAAACAGTGGGTAGGAAATTGGATAACACGACATTAGAAACATACTACAAAAAGAATTCAGTGAATATAAGCGTACTGTAAATTCTTACGACGATTTTAGTTTTTTTCGCCTGTCCGGCGCCTATCTGCCGGTAAAGGCCGAAATCACCAGACCGAGCTTGGAAATTAAAAAACGGTGGGTAGGAAATTGGATAACACTACATTAGAAACATAATAAAAAAAGAATTCAGTGAATATAAGCGTACTGTAAATTCTTACGACGATTTTAGTTTTTTTCGCCTGTCCGGCGCCTATCTGCCGGTAAAGACCGAAATCGCCAGACCGAGCTTGGAAATTAAAAAACAGTGGGTAGGAAATTGGATAACACTACATTAGAAACATACTACAAAAAGAATTCAGTGAATATAAGCGTACTGTAAATTCTTACGACGATTTTAGTTTTTTTCGCCTGTCCGGCGCCTATCTGCCGGTAAAGACCGAAATCGCCAGAGCGAGCTTGGAAATTAAAAAACAGTGGGTAGGAAATTGGATAACACGACATTAGAAACATACTACAAAAAGAATTCAGTGAATATAAGCGTACTGTAAATTCTTACGACGATTTTAGTTTTTTTCGCCTGTCCGGCGCCTATCTGCCGGTAAAGACCGAAATCGCCAGACCGAGTTTGGAAATTAAAAAACAGTGGGTAGGAAATTGGATAACACTACATTAGAAACATAATAAAAAAAGAATTCAGTGAATATAAGCGTACTGTAAATTCTTACGACGATTTTAGTTTTTTTCGCCTGTCCGGCGCCTATCTGCCGGTAAAGACCGAAATCGCCAGACCGAGCTTGGAAATTAAAAAACAGTGGGTAGGAAATTGGATAACACTACATTAGAAACATATTACAAAAAGAATTCAGTGAATATAAGCGTACTGTAAATCCTTACGACGATTTTAGTTTTTTTCGCCTGTCCGGCGCCTATCTGCCGGTAAAGGCCGAAATCACCAGACCGAGCTTGGAAATTAAAAAACAGTGGGTAGGAAATTGGATAACACTACATTAGAAACATAATAAAAAAAGAATTCAGTGAATATAAGCGTACTGTAAATTCTTACGACGATTTTAGTTTTTTTCGCCTGTCCGGCGCCTATCTGCCGGTAAAGGCCGAAATCACCAGACCGAGCTTGGAAATTAAAAAACGGTGGGTAGGAAATTGGATAACACTACATTAGAAACATAATAAAAAAAGAATTCAGTGAATATAAGCGTACTGTAAATTCTTACGACGATTTTAGTTTTTTTCGCCTGTCCGGCGCCTATCTGCCGGTAAAGGCCGAAATCACCAGACCGAGCTTGGAAATTAAAAAACGGTGGGTAGGAAATTGGATAACACTACATTAGAAACATAATAAAAAAAGAATTCAGTGAATATAAGCGTACTGTAAATTCTTACGACGATTTTAGTTTTTTTTCGCCTGTCCGGCGCCTATCTGCCGGTAAAGACCGAAATCGCCAGACCGAGCTTGGAAATTAAAAAACAGTGGGTAGGAAATTGGATAACACGACATTAGAAACATATACAAAAAGAATTCAGTGAATATAAGCGTACTGTAAATTCTTACGACGATTTTAGTTTTTTTCGCCTGTCCGGCGCCTATCTGCCGGTAAAGGCCGAAATCACCAGACCGAGCTTGGAAGTTAAAAAACAGTGGGTAGGAAATTGGATAACACTACATTAGAAACATACTACAAAAAGTACTGTAAATTCTTACGACGATTTTAGTTTTTTTTCGCCTGTCCGGCGCCTATCTGCCGGTAAAGACCGAAATCGCCAGACCGAGCTTGGAAATTAAAAAACAGTGGGTAGGAAATTGGATAACACGACATTAGAAACATATACAAAAAGAATTCAGTGAATATAAGCGTACTGTAAATTCTTACGACGATTTTAGTTTTTTTCGCCTGTCCGGCGCCTATCTGCCGGTAAAGGCCGAAATCACCAGACCGAGCTTGGAAATTAAAAAACAGTGGGTAGGAAATTGGATAACACTACATTAGAAACATAATAAAAAAAGAATTCAGTGAATATAAGCGTACTGTAAATTCTTACGACGATTTTAGTTTTTTTCGCCTGTCCGGCGCCTATCTGCCGGTAAAGGCCGAAATCACCAGACCGAGCTTGGAAATTAAAAAACGGTGGGTAGGAAATTGGATAACACTACATTAGAAACATAATAAAAAAAGAATTCAGTGAATATAAGCGTACTGTAAATTCTTACGACGATTTTAGTTTTTTTTCGCCTGTCCGGCGCCTATCTGCCGGTAAAGACCGAAATCGCCAGACCGAGCTTGGAAATTAAAAAACAGTGGGTAGGAAATTGGATAACACGACATTAGAAACATATACAAAAAGAATTCAGTGAATATAAGCGTACTGTAAATTCTTACGACGATTTTAGTTTTTTTCGCCTGTCCGGCGCCTATCTGCCGGTAAAGACCGAAATCGCCAGACCGAGCTTGGAAATTAAAAAACAGTGGGTAGGAAATTCGGATAACACTACATTAGAAACATACTACAAAAAGAATTCAGTGAATATAAGCGTACTGTAAATTCTGACGACGATTTTAGTTTTTTTTCGCCTGTCCGGCGCCTATCTGCCGGTAAAGACCGAAATCGTCAGAGCGAGCTTGGAAATTAAAAAACAGTGGGTAGGAAATTGGATAACACTACATTAGAAACATACTACAAAAAGAATTCAGTGAATATAAGCGTACTGTAAATTCTTACGACGATTTTAGTTTTTTTCGCCTGTCCG